GAGAATGGTGATTTTTTTGTCACAAAATGTTATTAAGAGCAAGGCAATCTCTTTAAGAATATCCTATTACTTAGACACAGGAGTTAGATTCTAGGTTATATTAGAATAATAACAATTTTGAAATAAATGCATCCATTTTATTAGTTTTCAAGCTGGATTTTTTTTATTGAGGTAAGATATAGATTTCTCTCATATTCTCTTTCGGGGTTGATCTAAGTCTGTTCTAAACGAGAGGCTAAGTTTCCTAAACAATTCTTCATCTTCATCTTTATTTTTGGTAAAGAGAATTCTGGGAAGGAGCTGTGTGCATGGGCTGATAACCAATAAACACTTCAATGACAGTGGAGAGTCTGTTGCTGGTCATAGCCCAATTACAATTTCTTTTGTGTCATCTTTAGCTCCCTTGATAGCCACTCATTGCCCAGCTGCATCAGACCTGCCATCTTGATAAACAGATAGAAACCTTTGGAGTGTATCAACAGAACCCCTTTCTCCACGAATGGAAAGGGGAAGAAGTATGCCAGCCGTGTCTATCTGCCTGGCTGTAGCCTGCTTCCCTGATGTACTCACCAATGTATTTTAAAATCGCTTTGATTTATGACTTGCTTTGTTTTGTTCTTCTAAAAACCATGGGACTGTTTCCACACTGGAACAGAGACACTGGTGACCTAGCTCTACATTTCTGGGCCATGGTCACTCAGATTAGGCTCCAGGATAAACTATCCCTTTGAGATGAGAGCTGTGTTTTTTTGTGTTAACACCTCTATTCACCTGAAAGTCTTTGCCCGGTTTTGCTCTGTGGTTTACCTCTCTGAAGCTTTATTTTTCACAATTTTAATCTGCTTTGTAGATTTGTTCTTTACAATGGACTGTATGGGTTTCCTTGGGAAAGTTTGTTCTTACCATGCCATTGGTGGTGCAGTTGACTAGTTCTGAGGTGCTTTTCATTTCCATGGAGTCATATGTACATTTGGGAACAGGTCTCTGAAGTCTGGGGACATGTGCCTAACTCGCCAGCCTTATCTCCATGGGTTTCACACATGCAAGGCTGTCTTTCTGCTTTCAGTCCCCCGAGTATGCATCTCCACCTCTGTCAAACCTCTGCCCTTGTCTAAGCTGTCTCCATTCCTGCCTTGTGGTCTGTCTGGTGGGAGCCTTCAGCTGCTAACCACTAGTAGACACTGCCTGCTGCTGCTGTCCCTGTAGCCTCAAGCACAAGGTTCCCACCATGTTCAAGTCTGGAGGTTGTCAGCTTTCTTCACTGAAGGATTTATTTGTGTTCTTGATGGATATATCTTGCCCACCTTTTGTTTGTTCTGCTTTTTTAATATTCTAAATGTATCTCTAGGTCAAATATTTTGTAAAAATTGAAGATACATCTAGCTTGCCAATTCCTACAAAATCCATGACCTGGTATTCCAGTGTTCATTTGAGTAGCCCCACTGTGGGACATGAGGAACACAGCCCAGGCTGTGACACAGAGACAGCAGCCTTCCCTATGCTCAGCTGTTACAGGCAATTGGATCCCCCTTCTCCCTCCTCTGGTCCTCAAGAGCAAAAGCCTCAGTGTGCATAATAGCCACTTCCTTCTGTCACAGAAGAAGGAGGCAAATCTCAGGAAACTGCCAACAGCATGGGCCTGTGGGAGTTGCCTACCTGCCAGAGACCTTTGGCCCAGCTGGATGGTACATACTCTTTGCCTTCACAAAATGGTACAGGAATAGAGACCTTAACTTCAGAAACGGTGAATTTCTGGTAAATTGTGTTCAGATTGTGTGGAGAGAACTGTGGTAAATCTGGGCCAAGAGTCAGGGACCAGGTTATTTACGGTATCTCCTGACAGCCAGGGCACAGTGACAACTGTCTGTAGTCCAGCTTCTCACTTGACTTGGGCACACCCCTGCAACCATACCTGCAGAGCATGCTTCACCAGCTCTGTCACAGCGAGCTGCCTGGTTTTCAGCTCTCAGAGTTTGTGATGGGTGTCTGCGCGTCCGCAGGATACTCCCTCATTCTTTCATGTTCCCGTACTTTATTGCACTCTGGAGACTGATGATATTTCAGCAATATACCTCTCCAGAGGAATTGTGCTCCCTGAGGGCAAGACCATGTGTTTCTCTTGCTTGTTACCCAGTCTAGGTGTTTACTGTCTCCAGGAGGGTTTGGTTGAGGAGGGTTTGGTTCCTGATAGACGGCAGTGCAGGGGATGATGGAGCAGAAGGGACCTGGTAGCACAGAGATGTGCCAAATGGTGGGGTTTTCTCTCTTGTACTCACACATGGATCTCTCTTTCAGGGGTCCAGCAGATGGGGCCGCCATATTACACTGACCCTGGAGGACCTGGGATGAATCCTGTTGGCAACACCATGGCAATGGCTTTCCAGGTCCAACCCAGTTCACCCCACGGAGTCACAGCCTACCCACCCCCTCCTTCCTACTGCAACACGCCCCCGCCTCCCTATGAACAGGTGGTGAAGGACAAGTAGCAAGATGCTACACAGAAGGCAAAGAGGCTGGACAGGCCCTTCTGTGTGTCCTCCCCACCCTCACCGATACTTGCTAACAGGGTGGTCCAAGGGCAAACTGCTCTTTGATGTCTTCAAAGCAAGCCCAGCTCTCTTTCAAGTTTTTTGTGGAGGACATTTGAATTTCAGTCTCCTCTGTCGCTTCTGTTTCTGATGTAGTCTGTGCTCTCTGAGAGAGTGTGGCAGCAGTCCCTGGGGGTTAACCTTCCTGAGGTGGCCGGCATAGATCCTTGGGAGAGAGGCTAAGAGGGAAGGAAGGCATAGCCTATGTGTTGTGGCAGCTAAAGGGTCAGGCTGAGATAAGACTCGCAGGATGCAGTAGTGGGGAGAGAAGTTGGAATGGCTCTCTCCGCTGTCCTAGCCCGTCCTAATGGAGCTGTGGAGATGTGCCGGGGAGGCCTGCTGATGCTGTTTGGTCTCCACTCACATAGTGAAAGCAGGCTTTCCTCTGCAGGGACAGGATAGACCCAAGGGTGTGCTGCTTCCACTGCAGGATGAGCATCAGCATCAGGCCCCAGCTGGACATCGCCAGTTAACTAAAGGCCACTAAAGAGAGGGAAGTCTTTTAAGCTAGGGAAAATCACTCCCTGCTCCAAATGGAGACATTGCATTTTGTGAATCATTCTCTGGCTTCAGATGGAAAAAGACTAGTTTCCTTTTTCTTTTAGTGCATTTATTGAAGTGAGGGTCCTGTCCTTTGAGATCAGATGGCAAGTGTGAACCCTCGGGGTCACTGCTCAGGGCTTCAACACCTTTCCCCAGGTGGTTCTGGTGATGGGTTTCATGGACAGTTCAGAGCAGGAATGGACATGCGACCCTTGGAGCGGGAGAGAACAGCTAAAGTAGCCCAGCAACACAAGACCAGCATTGCTGAGTAAGAACTAGGGTTGTATTTGATCCAAGCAGAGATGTGCTGGGCTCAGAAGAGGGGAAGTTTGTGGATAGAACAATGGAAACCTACTTAGATGCACAGACCACATAATCAAAATTAGAGAAAGAAGATGTAGTTAGAGATGCTGTTTCCCAGGTGAGAATCAGCTCACCCGTAGATTTACAAGTAGCAAAGGGAGTTCTTAACAGTAAGGAGTGCTGTTCCCTTGAGTAGTTAGTCACGTTGATGTGTGTTTAGACCCAGACTGAGACCTTGTATACTAAGAGCAAGGCAGTATAGCTAAGACGTCTAGATTACTTTATGTGTAGTATCGTGGGGAGTGGGGCTGAGAGTAAGGGGACTGACATTTTAAATGAGCCAATCAGAGCCTTTTGATAAATTGTTACTTGTTGAATTGGGCATCCAAGCATCTCCCTAGAGTGGACATGAAGGTTCTTGGGGTATTTATATGGGGCAAGGGTTCAGAAATCAGGACAATAGCGGCATGGGCTTAGTTTAAGGACAGAAAGCATGGGGACTTGGTAGACAATTTCATAGGAAGTTCCAGGGAAGAAGTGAACACCCTTTAAGACAATTCATGGACACAGTGCTGCTTCCCAAATCATTGAGTACCCTTGTGTCTCTGGCATCCTGTCCTGGATCCAGTACCCCTCCAGGTTCGGGTCCTTGTTTTAAATAAGATGACAAAGCACAATGTCTGCTGTTTACAATCAAGACAACTACATGGTCCAAACATTTCTGCTCCCTTCTATCACTTGTGGTTTTAACTTCAGTTTCCTCCTTTCCTTTTTAAAATAAGCACAGTCAGAGCTGCTCCTGAGATTGCACCAAGGGACAGCTGAATCAAGGCGTTTGGCGTCCTTAACTACATCTTATCTTTTTGATAGCAAATCCTTTTGAGAAACTGAATGACTGATAGGGCTCAGCAATTTTGTACTCCAGTGTCTATGTAAGATCAATTTTGTTTGCCATTGAGCCTGCATTGAAATTCCTTCAGCCGCAAACACTGGCAACACCTATGGAAATTGCACTTCTGGGGACAGTTCCCAGCATTCTTGTTTTCTTGTCTTCAGTGGGTAATGCTTGCCCCTTCCAGCAGCTCCACTTATGTGTGCTGAGGTCCTAAAGAGCCGGTGCTTGGGGACAGACTTGAAGCAGACTTGTGCATGTTCTTTCTTGGCAACACTGGGCTCATATTTCTTCTTTGTTCTCTTTTGATAGGGTCCTGTTTCCTATGTATAAAAAATAAAAGTGAATTTGGTCATGTGCTGTGATTATTTGCTCGGGCATGGGAAAGGGATGGAGGAGATGAGGTTTCTAATGAGAAATTACAGTAGATCATGGATTCACCTGGGAAGCAGGGTAGGGTAGATGATGCTCCATCCCTACACAGCTGGAAATGAAATGTTATCCAGGAATTTATGTTCCCTTTGGTTCAATGACACGTTTTCAAAACTCAAGATAGGAAAGAATTGTCAGAAGCAAGTGAGAGGCAGAATTATTTACCTAACAGGGAACGCTGGTGTTGGCCAAGAATGTGACTCTGCTCTCCTACAGGAGGTTGGCCTTCCCTTTAAAGTACCACTCTAGAGCTGGGTGTGGTGTTCTACAGGTGTCACTTCAGCTACTCAGAGACCCAATGTCAAAGGACTCTATGAGTGCAGGAGTTCAAGACAGGCAAGACAATGGAGCAACATTCTCATCTGTAGACTGTAAATGTCCTGGTCTGTGTAGTCAGGAATTGTATGTATTTCTTGGATATGACTGCATATTGGATGAATGGATATGAGCTGCATTTTGGATGAATTGCTAAGTGGCACAGTGTTTTTAGAGTTTTATATTCTGACTTCTTCAAATACTTGTCTTAGAAGCCTGATCTCTTCTGTATCTATAGACCCACATTTGGGGTATTTGTTTTAGGGATGTTGCCAGACCATGTTATTTTAATTCAACATGCCGAGAAGCATCTTAATTCTGTATTATCTTCTACTTTACAATTTGCAAATTACATAATCTTCTTGGAGAAACAGCAGTACAGGGTTGGAGGTATTACAGCCCTTCTGCTCAAGGATGGGTGATTCCAGAGGAAGAGTTAAGAAAAACTCTGGTCTTCCCATCTCTTTATTCGACACTTTGTGGCTGGACCTTTTATTAAAATGCTTACTTCGGTGCTTATACAAAATAGCTCATCTGAAAGGTACATCTGCTGGATACATGGCAGTACATGGGACTTGCAAAGGGCTACTTATATAGCTTACATATAGTCATTAATAAGGTACAACTCACAATGACCCATTTCATGTTAAAAACTAACTCAGATCAAAGGCACAGCCTCAAAGCAAGGTACAGATGTAAAATGAACTTAAACACTATAAATGATGCTTTGTGCAGGATTAAACTGTGTGTGGCTGTACACAGTCGCTATGTCAGTTCCTCAGGAGGCTGAGACTCTGAGGACCATTGGAGCCCCAGAGGACAGGGTTTGTTTGAACAACACACTAGGACTCTGTTGCAGACAAATAAATAAATGTGTATCTATGAAAACCAACAAAATAAATTACCAAATAGACTGAGCTTAGAAACAACTAACCCCGACTCCAGGATTCCTAGAATGCAGGACCACAGGAAAATGCAGTGAGATAGTTTGTCATGAATAACTTAAGACACAAAGAGAAAAAAAATTATGAGAAACACCCATAAATCCCTCACTTCGTTTTTATAACTCTTGGGTATTTTGAACTAATTTCTTAATATCTGGTGTGCATTCTATGACAATTTCTGTGCTACAGTTTAAAGCACTGACAGAATAAGGAAATGTTTTTATTTATTTATTTATTTATTTATTTATTTATTTATTTGGTTTTTTGAGCCAGGGTTTCTCTGTATAGCTTTGGAGCCCTTCCTAGAACTCACTCTATAGACAAGGCTGGCCTCGAACTCACAGAGATCCTTCTGCCTCTGACTGCTGACTGCTGGGATTAAAGGTGTGCACCGCCACTTCCTGGCCAGAAATAGTCTTTATGCCACACACACCCCCCCCCCAGCTTTTAACTTCATCTGGACTCAAGTCTAAGCATACTGCTAGTGTGCTTTGTGATAAAATGCCAGAGAGAATCGACTTATAAGCAGAAAACATTTTATTTGGACTCACAGTCTGAGATTTCAATCCATGGTCACTTGGGCCTGTTGCCCCACAACATATCATGGGGTGCATAGAATGGAACAGACCGTGTTTACCTCAAGAATGGCAAAGAATGCTGGTTACAAATATCCCTTTAGAGGGCATGCTCTCAGTTACGTTCCTCTCACTACAGCCAAACCTCCCAGAGGTTCCACACTACCTTTCAGTAGCACTGTGGGCTGTTACTGAACTTTTAACACATGGCCTTGTGGGGACATTCATATCCAAAGTATAATACTACCTGATTGCTTACTTTCTCTCCGGCCTGTAGTCCCAGGTGTTCCTGGGAAATCAGCCCATGGGGTACCAGCTTGCCTCTCAAGTGGTACTACGTTCTTGCTGCTACGTCTGTGCATTTATAGCCCCTGGCCATCTGTGGACATGGCTGTTAAGACCTGGTAGCAGTGATTCACTGGACAGTTTGTGGTAGGACATCCTCCAACCCAGGTCTGACCACTTAGACAGACAAGTACTCTTAAAGCCACTCGGAAGTTTTGTCTGCAGTACCACCCAGATCTGTCATTTGATGTGAAACTTCCAGAAGATGTCACCTCATCTGAGAAGGGCCTACCTCCTTCCTCTGCAACCCCTCTCTCAACTACCCAGAGTTCTAGGCCCCAGTGGCCCATAGGACCTTTTATTTAAGTGTTTTACTTTGCAGTGAGTTAACTAGCCATGATTTTAAAAATGTATTAAATGTCTAAATTTGAGTGTGTGTGTGCGTGGGTATGCCCCATGTAACACCATACAAGAGGAGGGCAGCTGACAACTTTGTGGAGTAAGTTCTTTTATTCCACCTTTACCTGGGATCCAGGGATAGAACTTGGCTTGCCAGGTTTCCGTGGCAAGTGTCTTACCACCGATCCATCTCGAAGGCCCCTTCATTTGTGGGGTGGTTTGAATAAGAATGGCCCCCATAGCCTCATATATTTGAATGCTTGGTCATTAGGAAATGGTGCTACTTGAGAGGGATTAGGAAGTGTGGCCTTGTTAGAGTAGGTGTGGCCTTGGAAGTATGTCACTGGCAGTGGGCTTTGAGGTTTCAGGAGCGCAAGCCAGGACCAAAGGCTCTCTCTCTTCCTTCCGCCTGCTGAACTGGATGTAGAACTCTCAGCTACCTCTCCAGCACCATGTCTGCCTACATGCTTTCATGTTTCTTCTGTGACGATAATGGATTAAACCTCTGAAACTGTAAGCCAGCCCCAATTAAATATTTTCTTTATAATAGTTGCTTCTGTTGTGGTGTCTCTTTGCTCACTAAGACAATTTGTTTTGATGACTGCCTAGTTTTATTTGGTTAGGGGTATCACAAGGATAGGTTTGGCAAATTCTGATCTCACTCAAACCCATTTAGGTAGACAGAGAACAAGACAGATGAGGTTTGCCTGCTTGCACAAATTCTTAAGCGGGAAAGATACCCCTTCTAGCCAGCTTCTCCCAAGAAAAAGATCATGACTTAAGGTGCAAAATCTAGAGCTCACTTTCATCTGTTCTTTCCAAATTCCAGTGAGCTTCAAAATATCCATAATAGCTGTCAAAACAAACAAACAAAAACAAAGCAAAAAGAACTAGAACAAAAACATGGAGTAATCTCTGAAATAAAAGGCTGGGGAGATGTGCTGATGAGAGCCACAGGTGGGGCGGGAAGGGCACACATTGGTGGTGATGGAAGAACTTGAGAGAACGTTGTGGGCTACATCTGGAGATGCTGCAGGCACACCGGTGGCCAGGGGCTTGCTCCCTACCAAGCGCACACTGAGTGGTGAGACTTTCACTGTTCCGAGAGGAAAGCTACTTGGAATTGTTATGGGATTTTAAGAAGTGACTTTACATTACTCAATGTTTCTATTCAAATCTTCATAGCCCAGGACTCTTGTGGCTTTCCCATAATCTCTAGATCTCTGCTGTACTTTGAACCTAAAATACACAGCCTCCAAGGCCCATGTGTTAAAGGCTGGGTCCACACCTGGTTTGTGTTGTGAGGTGGTAGAGGAAGAGGGGGGGACCTGGCGGGAGATCTTGTTAAGTGATCTTCAAAGGATGTATGGGGACTTCAGCTCCTACAGCTGAAATATATATTCATCCTCAGCCAGGAGATGAACGGCTCTGCTCCACCATGTGCCTCTGAGTGATTTAATGCCTCATTACAGGCCCAGAGTGATAAGACCCACGCATCATCATGAGATGAAACCTGGAAAACTGAGCCAAAATAAGCCTGTTTCCTTAGTTTGCTTTTCTTTGCTATTGGTTACAGTAATGCAAAGCTGAATTGCCGACCCAATGTATGGGGAGATGCTGTGCATAGTGAGACCTCATGGGCTAGAGTCACATTTGATGAGGCCTTTAAGCACTCTTTTCTTTGAAATTTACATAATGTTCTATACATTTTAAATTATGAGTGTGATTTTTGGATAGCATATGGCCAATGCTAGCTAACACTCCATTCTTATACTCTGTGGGCCTCCTGTCCCAGGCCCAGGGAGAATGCTAGGGCCTCACTGCCTAAAGATTTAGGAAACCAGTGAACCAGGCTGAGAACTAAAGGTCTTCTGTCCCTCCCTTCCTCCCTCCCTCCCTCCCTCCTTCCCTCTCTCCCTCCCTCCCTCCCTCCCCCCCTGTGGTCCAGAAGCAGAGGGTCAGGCTAAGCATTCCCAAGCCATGAGAGCCTGTGTCTATGAAGCAGAGATCTCTTGACAACTCACAGGTTTGAGTAAAACATTAACCTTCGTCATGCTGTCTCAGTGTCTTTGCATTACTGTAGGTGATACCAACCACATAAAATAACATGGACAAGCTATTGCCCTGTCTTATGAATAGAGTCCCCTGTGGATCTCTTCCTCTCTATGGCCCACCATTATTTCAAATTTTATTATTATACTTCCTTTAGTTTATTTACACATTGTTACTCTTTCTTTATTGTGACTCCTGTTGTGCTGTGTAGTTCTTATTCTTTTTATGAACATTTATATTTTGAAATAAAATATGAGAAACAAGTTGCTAGATCAAAGTATATGTACTCAATTTTGGTCTTTTACCATGTTCAGCTTAGTGTACTGATTCTTCCTATCAGGCTTTGCCAGCACTGTTTGTGTTATGCACAATTATACATGGAAACTGTTGTAGCCATAATAATGTAGCATTATTGCCAGGAGCAATGGCAAAGGTAACCTTAGACCTGTAAGAGACTTGGGCTGCTTCAGAGAAGATTGCCAGTATTTTAAGAGTAGCCCATTATGTTAAAAGAATGGCTACCTTCAATCCTTCAATACCAATCAACTCCCCCCCCACACACACACACTTCCTGATAAATAGTACCTGGGCTCACAGAAATAGCTATAGAAAAGAAAGAAACATTTCACGGTCAGGTTACTTAGCAAACCTTCCTCCTGCACACTCTCTAACCTAACTAGCCTTCTGTCTTATCTGCACCTGCACTCTCCGACCTTGGTAGCATCCTGTACTCTCTGCTTGCCTTCAAGGACTCATGCACAGGGACATTCTGTGCTTTGGTTATCAGGCAAATGGCCTCTCCCTGCCCAGTTCCTGCCCCGCCAAGTTTCCTGCTTCAACCACTAAATAAGGTCTCTGAGAAAAATAAAAATTTGCAGCTTGATCAGAAAGCCTGTCTTGCTGTTGTTTCTCTTGTCTCTTTGACCCATCATTCTAGGAACTCTGGTGCTGCAGCACATTGGGGTGTCAGCTCAAGTGGTGCCCTGCTGGCCGGGGCACATTATGAGGAATAATAATTTTGAATGAAAGATAGATTCATTTTTATAATGATATATATTTAGTCCACATATGATTGCCAATGTGAGAGGTAAAGAAGTCCCCATGTTTGTTCCTTTGTTACATGGGTCTCTCAATATTTGTAGGCCCCACCTTCTTGAAAAGACTTGTCAAACCAAGATTGGCAGGATGAAGACATCACAAGAAGTATCATGTACAGTATCTCAAATGTTCTCCAGAGGCCATATATTAAAGCAGAAGAGCAGATTACTACAGGGAAGTCATTAGATCCTGTGGGCATCAACATCAGCTGTGGGTTTCCTACTGATGGCTTTATAGTTAATGACTCCTGGATGCTGGTTAAAAACTATAGATGGGAGCACCTAGTGGGAGCACCTGATGCCATGATGCTCTTCCTCAGCACAGGCGTATAGCAATGGAGTTAGCCAACCATGTACTGAAACTTAGGAAGTTATGAGCCAAATAAACTTTGTTTCTCTTAAATTGTTTCTTTTAAGTAGTTTGCCTTAGTGATGGAAAGCTGACTAACATATACGGGTTAGAGACAGAATATGAAACCTGGCGTTAACAATGTGAGATACATACATATATGATATATAGCATTAAGTATATTCATATGAGTACACCAAATAGTTCTGCACTTCCAAACATAGCTTCAGGCAACTCTTCTCTTGAATTGCTGTCACTTCATTTTAGGTGGAAGCATTCATGTCCAGGGTAAACCCTATAGCACTTACACCTTGTTCTTTAAGTGTTTGAGCCAACCCCGGGCCCAAGCAGTTATCACAGTCCTCACCGTATTTCAAGTGTTACTCATTGTGGTGGTTTAAATGAGAATGGCCCATTATAGGCTCCTGTGTGTTTGGTACCCAGCTGGTAGAACTGTTTACTTGTGATGAGCTTCAAAGTTTCAAAAGTCACACCATTTCCAGTTAGCACTGTCTTCCTTGTATCTGTGGACCAAGGTTGTAAGATCTCACCTACTACTTAAGTACCATGCTTGCCTGCATACCTGCCTGCTGTCATGTTCCCAGCCACAATGGTCATGGACTTTAACCCCTAGGAACCAAATTAAATGTTTCATTTTATCCTTGGTAATGGTGATCTGTCACAGCAATGGAAAAGTAACTGTGACACATAATTCAGTTAAAGCAGCACCACATCCTACTATATACTACCATTCTTAAATGCTTCCTTATTTGATTCATGGGTCAACTCTTTGGTCACTTGGTATTTCCAACCCCTTACTCCTAACCCCAGTCTTGCCTTCTACATAATCAGGAAAAACCATATATATTAATTTCCCCAGTCCCTATGGTGGAAGAAGGTGATGTCACAAATTCTGGCTATGAAACATTCATAAAACACCATTGTAAGGGATTCTGGGAAGGCTTTGTCTTTCTTATGAGTAGGACTGAAGTTGCCACATGCCTGGTCACATCGTTTTGATCATTATAACTACAGAAGCTAGACTGTGACCAAGAGGAAAAGACCAAGATAATCACAGAATAACCCACTGCTGAACTGAGACAGAAATGAGAAAGAATGAGGGCTTCATAAGTCATCACCACAAACTGTCTTTTATTAACAAAACCAAAGAACCCCAAACACTTTCTGTGGACATTAACATTTTCCCTCCAGATTTTAATGGTATTCTGTGTGTACATATTTTTAAATTTTCACCACATTTAGAATACAGTCGTTGACATAAAACAAGCCTAAGAAACAAAAGTGAGAGGTTCTTAAATTTGATGTCAATTGTTTATAACTATCACATGGTTAAATGTGAGCCCTCAGTCCTGATTCACATGCCACTTTCCTTTGCCCCATGGGATGGGGGTTGCAGCTTTTGTAGGACAGCAGCATATGCAGTGGGTACAAGGAAGGGAGTCAGTGTAGAGCGACTGAGATGCACATCTGGTGATACACCGTGGTGAGGCGGAAGGTGTCAGTCCACCTGTCTTAAAGGAAATCTGTAAACAAACCCTTCCCCATTCATCCTATGGGTATTTGATTTTTCTCTCAGCATGTTGGTCACAAAGAGACAGGCATGAGTAAACATAAGGAAAGACTTACCACTGCTACTGCTACCTTGAGGACCTCACTCAAAGCTCTACAAGCTGCCACCCTGATTCAGAAAAGGGCTTCCTACTTAGCCCCAGGAGCTTCCTTCAAAACAATCAGGATCTCAGAGATTAGCTCTGCCATGTAATACTTTTGATGAAATGCGTAAGAAAATGAAAAATGTTTGGTTCAGATGAGACTGACAGCACATGAGGTCTTGTGCAGAACGGCTTCCCCTCAAGACTGTTTGGAATGGTTTGCTCTGCCTTCAGGTCACGAGGTACTGGGCAGCCCTGAGAAGCCCATTATCAGGCTCAGGAAGTGAGTTAAAGGATAATCCTGGGGATTTATACACATAGAAGTAATCAACCCATGGTGAACAGAACAGTCATGATTTAGAATCAAGTGTACCTGTATGAAGAGACTTCTGAGGCATCACCTGGATGGAAACTAAAGGCCAGATGTTTAGGGTACTAGCCCCACAAGCAAGGTTCAACACTCAAAATGGTCCATGCATGAAGAAACCTTCTATTTCAGACTGTCACCATTCCAGGATGGTGACAATATGAAAGTACTGAGGTCCAGATCATTACACAATCCTGCTTTGTTTTTTATGACATTATTTCTACAAGAAAACATGCTTAGGAAATCTAACCCACTTGTATCATGAACAATAACCAAATTCTGAAATTTTTTGTGACAGAATTACTAACCATAGATGAAACCAACTTAATGCCCTTAAAAATCATTTTTAAAATCATCTAGATAACATTTGTCTTAGTTACAATATTTTGTTCCTTATGTGTATAAATTCAGCCTAGAATTTATTTTTATCACTTCAACTTGTATGAAAAATAAGGACTGTTTTAATTTTAAATTCATAACTTTAATAATTTATCAAAATATGAAATAAAGTTTTGAAGGGATATGGATGGATCAGACTGGCATTATATCTACTCTGTTTTACACAGCAATACTGATGACAGTTGGAGTCTGTTTTAATAATATGTATCTGGGTGAATGTCTGAGAATTGCTAATGTTTAGTCACTAATTGTATTGACCGAAAGATACAATGAGGAAGTGGTGTCAACTGTGCCTTCCCTAACTCTGCAGTGCACGCTGACTCACCCACTCTCCTGCTGGTTCAGGAAGCTGTCTTTCACTCATGTGCTTCTGAAAATGGCCCATGGAAAATGCGAACACAGTTTTCTCACAGGGTATCTAGATTTGCTAGCTGATGTTTCAGACATGTAATACAACTGTTTCTCTGTTGATAGAGATGACACTCTACTTTAGATACTATATACAAAAATGTGGGGCTGTCGCCTTAAACAGTCACACATGCTCAGCTAAGAGTTCAAGTGAAAGTGTGGCTTTTCTATTTAGTCAGTTTACACCTATAGACAAGCACCAAGAAACATGCACACTACGGGGAGCCTAGATATGAAGAGTTCTTATTTCACCGTTAAGGGAAACGCTGTCACAAAATGCTGATGATGTAGTTTCTATCACTCATGCTCTAATTTGGGGGTCTTTGCAACAAAAGGGGCTTGTGGAGATTTTTGCCCTTTTATTTTTCTTCCTCTTTTAGGATTTTCAGTAAGTTCTGTGTCAGGCACTAATCAGTCAGGTGGCTTTTGGTCCAATGGGTATGTTAGTTGTCCTTTTGCACCTTTTTAATCTTTCTGCAAAAAGCCAAGTTCAAATGCTGGAAACCGTGACGTCTCTGGTACCAAGATATCAGAGAGAAAGTGAACAGCACCAGCCATACCTGCAAAGCAAAATGTGCATCTTTTGAGAACTGTATAGGTTAGAATAAAGCAAAGTGACATTTAATCCCTTCCTCTACAGGGGCTGTAAGGACATAAGGAAAAGTACAATCACCAAATGAAAGTGACATTACTAAAAACAACACCCAACAGCCATTCTTTATTGTCTTGTGTGAATGTTTGAATTCAGGCATATGCAGTGTGAGCATAGATAACAGCAGACAAGTTAAAAGTGTCAGCCCTTGCCTTCCACCTTGTTTGAGACAGGGTCTCCACTGTTTTCTATTGCATACATAGCAGTGTGGCTGATTGGCACGACTGAGGTTCCTCCTGCCTCACCTCCCAACTCCTCTTCAAAGTGCTGGGACTCTACACTTGAGCTACACATCTACACATCTGTGTCAGGGGCTTCAAACGCAGATTCTTACACTTATGTGACAAGTCAATTTACCTATGAGCTATTTCCTCAACTCTACTATATTATGTCTTAAGAAGTGGCTTTTGGATTTGAAATGTTAAGATGCTATTGCAGCATCTACCAGAGAGACATGGATGTATATGTAGGATGTGGCCACATTGCTTATTTAACAGGTATGAGGGTCAAGTACCATAATCCAATGATAAAATAAAAACCCTTGAAGAATTTAAGGATGTTGCCAGCAGTATGTCTATAAATGAAACTTTTCTGTCAGAGCTTTTATAGCCTTATGTTTTCTTTCGCTTCTAAGAAAGTAATATTCAATTAAGTGCAATTTGTTTTTGTCAAAAGCTCCACAAAGCAGGGAATAGATTAAACCACAGCTTTGAAAATTGACTGACAGGAATGTCTGTGGTAGTGGAGGCTCAGGGCTTGTGTCTCCACCTCAAGTCAGAGGAATTTCTCTCTGAGCTTCAGTTAGTTTAGATTTGCTTTTGCCACAAAATTCACACACAAACAAATACACCAATCTTAGATGTACCTCTTTGAATTCTGGCAATTGTACAAATGGGAATAGAACAAACTTCTATCAAGATCTGGAATGACCTATCACCCCAGGGAGGTTCCGTGTTCCCGCACTCTCTCCCTATTCTGTTGTTAGAGGTAACTGCCATAGATGAGTTTTGTCTGTTTCAGAACTTGACTAGGGTTCTGGGGACTGGTTTCCTCACTAAGTTAGGTTCCTGTAGTTGATGTCTGTCTGTGGGTGCCAGCAGTCTGCTCTTCTTGCTGAGTAGTGCAGTAGAGACTGTCCTGACTTTGCTACTGAAGAACATGTATGTTGGTCCCAGCTTTCCCTATAAGTTTTTATTTGATGAAAGGGTTCTCTAGACACTTATTTTAAATAATAAAAAATGAACCTATTGGAACCCATCATAAACAAACAAAAAAAAGTCCTTTGAGAGAACTCTAGAAAATCCCGTTTCTGGGATTCATAAGCAGGCACCAGTCCCACAGGGTACCGCCTTTGGTGGAATGAAAGGCAAAGCCATCAGCAAATGAGAAAGCAGATTTGTTGCAGGTGGAAGAGAGCAGCTCTATTGAGGATGGACCAGGTGGGTAGGGCCCCAGTGGGAAGTGATTACAAAGTGCCGGGAAGTGGATTTTTGATAGGCTTATTCCCCATGAGTGAAGCAGAACAAGATCCAGTGGCTTTTACCACACGAGGATCCAGTGAGAATCCTGCTTCCCTCAGTGAGTGATTCAGGGAACCAATGTTGTAATTAAAAAAAAAAAAAAAAAAAAAGGCAGCTCATGAGAGAAAGATGCCATGCAGCATAGTTCAAGTGGAAGGGTATTTTATTTAGGGAAAAGGATCATAAAAAGGGAAGGGGAAGACTGACCTCTGAGGAGGAAAGAGAGAAGGGGGGGGGGAGAGATGGGAGGTGGGCAGGGCCCTTTTAAAAGGGAACATATTGAATAGGCACAGGTGGTGATCTTAGTGGCAGCAGCTGAGGGCATATCTTGTCAGAACTTGCCTAAATACTAACAGTGCGTACTCCTGGAGAGCAGCAGATAAAGCCCAGTGTTCTCTATGGGTAGAACTATCTGATGGGCTCCTACATAAGAACTCGGCTAATAGTTATTGCTAGTTCTATCTGCCATGTATTGACGAAGCACAGGGCAAACACAATCTGTTGATTTCCTAGCCATAGGGGAGCCGTTAGGTTCAAAAGTGGAATGTTGATCTAATGGGTAAAGTTGCTCTTTTAAACTTGAATGTGTAAGCATCAGTGGCCTCCGCTTAGAGTCAGATACTGACTCCCATTGTCTGATGAAAGTGCATCTCTTGTTTTTCTGTGAAAGGGCCTCAATACTGAGCTAGGCCAGACTCCCACCCATAATCTAATGCTTTAGCCAACAGTGTGATGCAATTACAGGCAAGGACCACCATGACTGCCACAGGTTTTAGTGACATAAATATCTGAAGTTTTATTCTGAGAAATATTTTTCCTTATTACTTCAATGGATACAGAAAAAGCCTTGATAAAATCCATTGCCTATCTACTTGACTTAAAATAATTCAATCACTTATTGCTTCTAAAGTTTATGATGGGATATAGTAAAAAGATGTGGTTTAGCTGGGCGTTGGTGGCGCACGCCTTTAATCCCAGCACTTGGGAGG